AAGTTGAAAATGAAGATCTTGAGGAAGGAAAGAGCAGCGGACATCGACGACAGAATCTCTGGCGAAGGACGTTTGTTACAGAGTAAAAGATAGGGAAGAGAGAAAATTTCGTGAAGTGAAAATGAATCCTCTTCCCCCCTTTATATAGGCTCACTTGCTCGCATGGGGAAACACAAAGGGAAAAACGCCATTATTGCCTAGCCTCTTAGACCTTAACAAAATTTATTACGCTTTCACACGTGGCAAAAGTTGTCAGTTGGCATTCTCAAAACTAACTCCTCACATGCTTGTGAAAAGATAAGTCTCTTCAGTTCCCCGCGGGCTCATTCTCCTCGACGACGTCGCTTGATCAGTATTCGAGCAGAAGCTTCATCCACGTTCTCTTCATCTTAAGAGAAGTTCTAGTTGATGTAAAATACACCTTTCATATCCGACCTCGTCCTGGCATCTCTGAGGAGGTCACACGCAACCAACAGTCGAACATGCTAATCACACGTTACACATCATTGCGTCTGTGAAGTTTTTTGCTCAATTAATGGAGATCTCAAAGACCTCCTCGCGATACAGTTCTTGCCCTGTGGTCGGACAGATAGGCTAACTCAAGTCATTACTCCTCACCTCGAAGCAATGACTTGGGGGGATCCTATTCTGGACTGGACTTGCACCTACCCCACAATTGGGCAAGGCCCAATCTAGTTTGGCTTAAGGCCCAATCTAATATGACCATGGGACACAATATAGCCGTTGAGCACAATATAGTCGTTGGGGACATGTTCCTCACGTGCTTGATAGTTCATGCAACCAACTGCCCCCCGAAAGTCACGAAGACAGTTGGACCAGGTCAAAGATCACACGCTAGATCTTCCACCTGGCAGTCCCCCATTGGCCGACCAAGTATTTCGGTTACATGGGAGACCTTGGCCCCGCGCTAGGAGAAATCTTATAAATACCCCCTCTCTCGAGAGGGTCAGGTATTTTAATCATTCTTGCCCATACCTAAACACTCGTACTTGCTTTCTCTCTTTAGCTCAAACACTTACTTTAGCATTGGAGTACCTTGCAGGTACAAACCCATCCTCTCCTAGAACCACTGTTGCTTCCCTACATTGAAGGTCAAGACGATCCATTATGATCACTCCAGATCAAATATTGTTCTCATTATTAATGAAATCATGAATTTTGCCAAGAAGAAGAAGGATTAAATGTTGGTTAAGGTGGATTTTGAGAAGGCGTACGATTGTGTTTCTTGGAAATTTTTGAGAGATTTGATGGTTACTATTGGTTTTGGTGATCGTTGTGATAGAATTAGAGTTTGACCTAACTCATCCATACAAAACCGGCTTGTAAGGTGAGGCGTGACACTTTATATAAACTATTTGTGAGTTCTATCTATAATCAATGTGGGACTTGGATTTTTTCCAATACACCCCCTCACGTCCAGCAATATTAGGCATGGTGCATGGATATAAATGGTGGGTGGCCTGAATTATCGATATATGAGACTCAGTGTTTTTTCAATACACCCCCTTGAGCCCAACATTTTTTTTCGGGCTTGGTGCGCATATATAAATGGTGGATGGCCCAAATTGATAGGCTCGTGATACCATGATAGAATTAGAGTTTGGCCTAACTCATCCCTACAAAACCGACTTGTAAGGTGAGGGGTGCCACTCTATATAAACTCTTTACGAGTTCTATCTTTAGGCAATGTGGTACTTGGGTTTTTTCCAATAAAGCGTTGATTTTGAATAGTTCCTTGTCCATCTTAGAGCACAAGAGTTCAAGCGATTATTTTGTCGTGTCTAAGGGCCTTCGTCAAGGGGATCCGCTTTTCCTGTTTCTCTTTTTATTGGTGGCAGAGGGTTTAACGGCGATGATGAAGAAGGATTTTAGCATGGGGGAGTTTGAGGGGTTTCAGTTTAGCGACGAGGTTCATTTTGAGGTTCTTCAATTTGCGGAAGATACTATGTTGGTAGGCGATGGGTCTTGGAGAAATCTTTGGAGCATCAAGGCAACTCTTAGAGGGTTTGAATTGGTGCCCGAGTTGTGTGTTAACTTATGCAAAAGTCGTCTCGTGGGAATTAACTTGGATCTTTCCTTTGTGCAAGCGACAACGTCTTTTCTTAATTGTGAGATTGTCAGCTCAAAGTTCAAGTTTCTTGGTATTCCCGTCGGTATCAATCCTAGAAGAAAGGTGGTTTAAAGGTCGGCGGTGTCCAAATTGATGAGACTTTCTTCTTGGAAGTATAAGAATATTTCTTTAGGAGGAAGATTGGTTCTTATTGATGTTATTCTTTCGAACTTACTGATCTTTTATCTTTCCTTTTACAAAGCTCTGAAGGTAATAATTGATGAATTAATTAAGATTCAAAGAGGTTTTCTTTGGGGTGGAGTGAAGGATAGGAAGAAAATCGCTTGGGTTAGTTGGGACAACATTTGTTTGCCTAAGAAAGATGGTGGTCTTGGTATTAAACACTGTGAGAAGTTTAATCTTTCTCTTTTATGTAAGTGGAAGTGGAGAATTTTGAACGATGAAAGCGCGCCTTGGTTTAATCTTCTATTGTATAGATACAGTAATATTAAGAGAGTTATGATTTGTGATCCTTGTCCTCCGTTGGGGAGTAAGGTTTCAATTTGGTGGAAAGATGTTTGTGATGTGGGATCGTCGACGGGTAATAGAAATTGGTTTATTAATTCTATTGCTTGTAAAGTTGGAAACAGTGAATTGTTTAATTTTTTGCGCGATAAATGGTTGGGTCCAGAACTGTTGTGCAGTACTTTTACCTCTCTGTTTGTTTTGGCTGATTTGAACAAGTGCAACATTGCTGAGAATGACTTTTGGATGACCGAAGGGTGGCACTAGAAGCCTGCACTACTGCACAGGCCTGCTATGCAGCAGGAAGTAGCTATATTATGCGATCTTTAGCTGTTGCTGCAGTCTGTTAATTTGGAGCAGCATGCGATAGATTTTTGTGTTTGGTGGCGAGATAACTCTGATTTTTCGGTTAAGAGTTGCTATGCCAGCATTGCTGAGTTGGGCTACGAGGATTTGAAGTTGGAAGAGCATATTGTGGTCGCTTTGGAAGATTTATGAAGAACAAAAGTTCCAAGTAAGTGCTTCATTTTTGGATGGAGATTAATCATGGATCATCTTCTTACTCGTATTAATTTGGAGCGCCGCGGTGTTTTGAATGGCCCCCGTGATGTTTTGTGTCCATTGTGTGGGGGGCAAGTGAGGACTCAGATCATCTTTTTGGTAGTTGTTCGATTCCAGAGGTTTGGTGGAATCTCTCGTATGATCGGATGCAAATTGGGAAACCCTCTAGTTTGTTTCCTCCACTTCTTAGAATCAAAGCTTTGGAGGCTTTAACAAAATCTTGTCTTAAGGTGGATTCCGGTTGGATCTTCGGTTTGGCTATTTGTTGGATTATTTGGACTTGTTGAAATTATATCATTTTTTAAGGGGGTTGGGTGGTCAATTTTGATGGGTTGAGCATGACCAAACACTTATAGTGGGAATAGTTTATGTTGGTGCTAGAATTGGTTGTATTTTTTCCTGATCGGAGTGGTGTGTCACTCCGAATTCAAGTTCGTTTTAGTTTCTGTTTTGGTTGTCCATTATTAGTGCTTTGTTTGCTTTTCTGTGTTTTGTATCCTTGGATTGCACCCCTTATGCGTTTTAATCCAATTTGCTTATAACAAAAAATTACTTAACGAGATATGATTAACTACTAGAACCTTCTTAAAACTCAAGTCTATACGAAACTCGTTGTTGGTGAGTATCATAATCATATGATTATGGTTATTACTCAATTGTTAGAGAAATTTAATCGCACAACAGTTACAAATACTAATGTAAAATATAATTACTCTCGACACTTATAAAAAGAATATTTTTCTTGATTTTAGACTTGATTACAGTACATGTTTCACTTCTTAGTATCTTATATAAAAGTTATTAAGTCACTTAATATCTTTGACCCTAAAACTAAGGATAACATTCTCATTTCCTAATACTATAGTTATTTATTTATTTGTTTATTATTATTTATCCCATTAACTTTTTTTTAAATATTTTAATAAATAATTATTTCTCTCTTATAACCACTACCTCCACTAACTCAATTTTATGCCTATTTAAATATTCTAATTTCAAACTATTCAAAAGAAAAAAAAGTATTTACTAACTAACAAAACCCCACGTTCCAAAACTATGATAGCATGTTTTTTAAAATTTATTCTTTATTTATCTATTTAGTTATTTAGATTTGTTTTTTCTATTACTTTTATGTCATGAAAAAGTGTGATTTCAATTTTCTTTATCTTTTATAATGTATGTTGTATAATAGAATTTTTAAATTAATCTTTTAGTTTAGAAAAAATATATTAAAAAGAAACTTATAATATTTAAAAAATATTTTTAAAAATACAAAAAAGAAAATGTATTTTTAAGTTAAAACAAATAAGCAATAAGGACCGGTTTATTTTGACCTTTTTGAAAATAATTTTTATAGGGTTACATTATTTTGTATAAAATAAATTTACAAAATTTATTTTCATAGAAGTTTTAATAATGTATGTTTACATTACAAAAGGTCAAAGTTAGTTTTTCAATTTAAAAAAAAAACGAATATAAAAAAAATTATAATATTTTAAAAAACGATTTATCAAAATTCATTTTAGAAAATAGAAAAAAAAATTCATTTTTTTAAAGCTAAAAGAAACTGGCCTTATTATTATGCCTTACATAATTCCTTCTATAACTGGAACATATATTGCAGAAAGAAAATAGTGAACGTGTGCAATTAAGAAACAAGCTCCAAAATATGAAGTAATAACATTGCCATTCTCTGGAAAAATTTCCAGTAACTATCCTAATAGGTGGCTATATAAATGTTTTGATTGATTCAATTTGATTTCACACCAACATAAACCCAAGCAAAACACTCCAAGTTATTCACAGCTAGTCACAATTAATAGAAGTTGCATTGCACCAAATATCAACCTGCCAAATTATAGTCATCTGTTTGCTGGTATAAATTGTAGTTCCCAGATACTTCCATTTTTCCTGCTAGATAATCATTCCCTGAAAAATCAAAGAGAAAAATGATGGCAATGCCAGTCTTGTTTGTCAGCACAAAATTACAATATGGAGAGAAGCTATTATCAACTTTAACATTGACATGTCAAGATTCTTGCACACTTACTGGTAGAACTAATTTAAGAATTTGCCAAAAACTAATTTCAACTAGAGTTTTTGAAGGTTCATTTAACTAGAATCTATAAACCAGTCACTTGCGTAACTATTTAGAAAAGCTTATGGAAGCTTATCAACGGTTAGGATAATTGCCTTCCAAGCAATAGACCCAGGTTCGACTGTTTTGATTCATGTAGCCGATCCCAGTTAGTGGAATAAGACTTGGTTGTTGTTATACTAAGTAAGATATACCAAATAAACTTATAAAAAAATATAGGCAATGAAGAGACAAGGGCATGAAGGAAGCATAAGACGTTACATACTTGAGTTTGATAGCACTTCATCATAAAGAGACGCACCGTTCAAATTTCTTGTAGATCTTATGCTACCATCCGATTGAAAGATTGAATATGTTTTGTTAGAATCTGGATTCAAGTACTGCAATTCAGATCCTTTTTCAGGGTTCTGGAAGCACAAATTTTCATCCCCTGCAGCAACATTTTGATGAGACTGAAACTCCTCTGGTTTTGTCTTCTTATCTTTGGAATCAACCTCAGTCTCTACCTCTGATTCAGTGTTACTAGTTCCCCCGTTTTGCATTTTTCTTTTCGATCTAGCACGCCTATTTTGGAACCAGTTATAAACATTTGTTTCAGATATTTGACCATGCTGGCTTAGTTCAGTAGCAATTTCCTTGATCTTTTCTTTGCTTGGAGTTCCATTTCCCTGATCAAATATGCGTTCGAGAATCTGGAGCTGATCCTGTGTAGGAGTCCACCTCTGTCTTGATGTGATCTTATGACCAGATGTCATCAATGGATCACAGTATATATTTCCCAGCCTAACCCCTGATGGAACAAAATTTTTAGCATTTCATCAGAGAAGCTGGATCTCATTAACAATGTCAATTATTATATACCAAAAGAAACAAATTTCTACTAAGTAGCATCGGTCGGCATGTGAAAGATCATAAAACTCGGATGTAAGAACCTACCTAAGGGGAAAAAAGGTAATTTCACAAATATACACACACACACATACACAAACACATGAAAATCATAATACAGACCCAAAAAAAGACCCATCACGTTTTTTTATGATCTAGCTTCAAAAATCTGTCTTGACCACACCGGTGACGAAAACGATCTTTCTCTTATCATAAGACTCTCAAGCATCCATAGCACGTAAAATCTTACAATCCAACACTCGAGTATGTCTGAATCACAATGAGATACTATGCAAAAGCTGCACTATGACATACATCCACCAAGCACCAGACATACATTATGCCACCTCAGCATTTGGTATTTACATTTTTTTGGTGCAAAAAAGTTCAAATTTGAAATGTGAAATTCAGTGTCCTTATGAAGGAAAATTAAATATTGCAGATATTTTGCAGAGTCATACTACCATGTGTCCTTAAATAATTGAGAAATGCTTTGAATGTCATCAAAACATTATGAATATCCACATATTCATTCCCTATTTTGAAAGTGTTTGTACCAATTTACCCTTCCATAAATAGATTTGTTTTCTGTGCCACCAAACATTAAACATGCAGACAAATTAAACTGACAGAAAGAACATACATGAATGAATGGGAATTTGCAGAAAAGATAAATCACACTGCAAAACAACAAAAACTCACTATGTAATTACTGTGATTCTAAACATGCCCTAACTTTAGGTTAACTTCTAAAATGAAATAGAAATAGTAAAATTCTCAAAATTGAAAATTAATTCTGAAGCAAATTATCGATGAGGTAAGAATGAATTAGGGTAAAGAATTGATATACCTGCAAGATCTTGTTGAGCAGAGAGTGTTTTATGCATCTCAACAAGTTGTTCACAGATTGTTGCATAAACAGCAATTTGTTTCCGGAGAGTTTCGAGTTGTTCATCGGTCATGACTTTGACATACATCGCGTCGACATTCCCGTGCTGAACTTGTTTCTGCCATTCCATCATGTTCACCATAGCATGGATACGAAACTCTATGGATTTTGATCGAAAGAGTGTGTGTGAAACAAAAGTCAGCAAAGTTTTAGAAATAGTGTGAGAAAAAGACAAAAGAAAGAAACATTATTATTGAAGAAAATGTTTCGTCCTCTTTATGCGGTGACAACGGCCCAAGACCAAAAGTCGGCAATAGATTAGATTTATGATTACTCTATATTATTAAAATATTTGTCTGCTTTATAATATTATTATTATTATTATTATTATTATTATTATTATTTTAATTGATATGCACATTGTAAAAATATTTTATCATATTTGATAATTATATCATTGGATAATTTTAACTAATTTGCAAGGTGTATTGGTATATTTAGAAGTATCAATGACAAATTATTTTGTCATAAAATTTTTTCATAATAAATCGTTGATTTATTAGATATGTCGATCTTATATTGATTATTATCATTCTTTAAAAGAAGTTGGTCAAAAGTAAGAAAACGGGGAAGTGACGTGTCCCTATTCTGTAACGGTACAAAATGAGGTATTTGACTACATTATCCATAATAATCGTGAATTAACGGGTCATTCCCGAATCCTTTCAGTGGTGGTTGCTATTTTCAAGGACTCTAGGATTCAAACTCAATATCGTTATAAATACCTCATCGCTAAAGCTGAGAAGGATAACCGGGTTCTCACATAGAAAATCACATATATAGAACTTCTCCCCCTACGTGAGTTAGCTATCAACCACACAACATATCTTAAAATCTCTAACAACCCTTAATCATTAGGTATTGCCATGTATTGTACTTTTTGGCAAATACAATTAGTGCCCACTGTGGGGCCCTAGTAAAACTGATTTGGGCCACCAGAATAACACTATGTTGGATTGTCGTCCTCACATCCAACCTCTCTAACCATCATGGTGAACAAAAAGACAACAACTCCAACCAGCGAATAACCTGAAGGTGAGGATAACGCCATAACAAAGATGTGTATCACTATGGATAATTTGCGTTGCCATAGCCAAGTTCTAAATGATGATATCCTCCATATCCAATAGTTTTAGGAGGGTATAATCTCCATTAACCAATGATATACCCCAACCTCTTTCAGGCGATATGTGGGATGTGTTCATTCAAGAGAACTTTAAGCCTTCTTCATTAGCCAAGTTTGATAGGCGCAGCGACCCGTATAAACATGTTGCTTCCATTAACATGCAAATGACTATCATCGGAGCTTCTAACTCCTTGAAATTCAAGCTTTTGTCGAGAACCCTCAGAGATGCAACTCTAAGATGTTATATGATCCTGCCACGACTCTCCACCACTAGCTATTAGAACTTGGTAGAAAAGCTTGTCAATTAGTTTGCAACAAGCAAACATAAAAGATTTCTACCACCAGTCTCTTCAATACACGCCAAAGCCCTTATAAATCCATGAGGGAGTACCTCAGTCGCTTTAATGAGGCAACAATGAAAGTGATTCATCCAAACTAGGAAATATTCATATGGGAGTTCTAGGATGGGCTTAACGAAGGACACTTAAACGAATCCCACGCCAAAGGCCAACAACATCCTTAGTCAAAGTTGTGTCACAGGAAGAATGTTACATCAAGGGCAAGGAAAACAATGGTGAAAAGAAAGCCTGAGACATGAAATAACGCACTTCAAATGTTGATGGCTCATGAAAATCACCAAGGGAACAATACATGACGCCCATTAGGGACAAGACAATGTTTAAGCAAAGTGAAAAACCCACTGATAACTCCATGCCCCTGAACACTCGTCGGGAGTAGATATGGCAAAAAGTCTTCCACATGCATAATATCCCTCAACTGACAGCTCCAAGGGCAGATGTTATAGGCCTTGAACTTAGTAGCTGGTGTGAGTTCCACAATGTTAAGGGACATCATACTGAGGATTGCTACCAGCTAAAGAATGAGATAGAATGTTTGATCCAAGGAGGGCACCTGAAGAAGTACGTAAGGGATAAACCATTCGAGGGTCACATGAATCTAATTCTAAGGGACGAGATCCCCATAAAACTTCGAATCCAAGAAAGGGAAGGAACCAAGTGAGGGTAACAATAGGGTTATCCACCATACTTTTTAATTATATTGATAGGGGATTTACGGTGGGCCGGAGAGACTAGTTCTGCCTTTAAAAGGTATACTTGCCAGATCTTAACCGTAAAGAGTACACCTACCAGCTCTGATATAGGCAAGTTAAAAGCTCTCAAATCCAATATATCATTTTCTAAGAAATAAGTTGTAGGCACACACACTCATAACGATGATTCGATGTTTAGGAGACAAATATGGTTTTGATTCATCAAGGAAGCTCCGTAGATGTCTTCTATTGGGATGTCTTTGAGAGGTTTCACATGGACTTATATGACCTCAAGCCCTTCCAAGGATCGCTGGTGGTTTTTTTGGGTGAGCAAGTGCAGGTGAAAGGTTAAGAGTACCTTTGGAGTTAAAGGAAATGCCAAGAAGAAAAAGGTAAGGTATCTGGTCATTTATGCATTTTCCTCGTATAACATAATTATAACTCATATTGAGTTACTTTAGTTCCATATCTTATGATCACACGATTGTGAGTATGACACATTGTATTAATGGCTTCAACCCAAAAATAATAAGGTAGATTCTTGGCATGCAACATGACTCTAGCTTATTCTTGCAATGTTCTATTTTGGCGTTCAACCACTCCATTATATTGAGGCGTGATAGGTGCTGAGAATTCATGACCAATCCCTTTAGAGAAGAAAAACTTAGAGAACTTGGAGTTCTCAAATTCTTTGCCATGGTCACTCCTTATTCTAACTATCTCACTACCTTTTTCTTTTAGGATACATTGGCATAGCTCTTTGAAAACATCAAAAGTGTCACATTTTTCTTTAATAAAGTTGATCTAATTGTATCTTGAAAAATCACCCACACACACAAAGACATATCTTTTTCCATCCAGACTTTTTGATTTGTCATCAGGAGGGGGAAACATACACATTGGGTCAAACACTCACCCAAACAAGTGAGAGAAACACCACATATTCACCAAAGACCTTAAGGTGATAGGTGTATGAGTCATCATACTTATAAAGTGTTTAACCTCCACTTTTCTATGCAATGTTGGATTTAAAACTCACACTTAATTTTCCACACAACTCACATTTGTTTCCCAATAATCTCCCCCTCAAATGTGAGTTCATCCATTATACTCCCCCTCAAGTGGAAGCTCTTTCATTCACATGGTTGTACCCTCGTTGAGAGACACCCTTGTCTCGTCATGGGCACTTCAACAGAACACGACATCTGACCACCGGGGCAGAAAGACTTTGACACAATGAGTCGGTCCCTTACTTGAACCACGGCTCTGATACCACTAATGGGTCATCAGGAGGGGAAAGCATACACATCGGGCGAAACACTCACCTAAAGGTTAAAGTCTCGCCCAAACAAGTGAGAGAGACACCACATATTCACCCAAAATCTTAAGGTGATAGGTGTATGGGTCCTCTTACTTATAAAGTGTTTAACCTCTATTTTTCTAAGCAATGTGAGACTTAGAACTCACACTTATTTTTCCACACAACTCACACTTGTTTTCCAATACTTTTTACTTGCATAGGCCCCCATGAGGTCCATATGTAGTAACTCCAAAACTTTAGAGGTGGTAAGATGTTGCATTTTCTTGTGTCACATATTGGTTTGCTTACCTATTTGACAGTCTCCACAGAATGTGGAACTATTTGCTTAGAGGTTTAATTAGGAAGTGATCAAAGCTCATAGATAAGCAAGTACGCCTAGCCTAGATAACATCATGGTTTTAATGCTGACAACTCTTGAAGATGTAACATCCTTCAAAGTGATTTTCATGATAGCAACAAGTAAGTGGTAAAGCTGGTTCAAACGGTTAAAGATGCACAAAATTTTGATGAAGTTTTTCCTCCAAATCAAACCAAAGAATTAGGATTTTATGATAACCAGTGATATCCTCTGATGATGGCATCTGACTTGAAGATATCTCAAGCCTCATCCTCAAAGGTCATTCTTAAACTCTTACCTTTTTACTTTAGTTTTGGATGTATTCACGAAACACATCATAGAGCTAAAACCAAATTGCTTACTTTATTGCACATGATATAGTCCTTCTTAGAGAGTCAAGAGAGAAATTAAATAAGAGGTTGGAGATATGACTTAAAATCATATGAATTTCGCCTAAGTAGAAGTAAGTAAGACATAATATATGGAATGTAAATTTAGAAGAAGACATAGTGTTTCTAACTTAGAGGTAAGAGTTGAAGATCATATCATACAACAATTTACACAGTTTAAATATTTTGGACACGTGATACAAAACAAATAAGAAATAAAAGGTGATGTTAAACGTAAACAACAAGTTAGATGGTTGAAATTGATGGAACTTTAAGTGTTTTTATGAAAAACAAAAATATCAATTAATTAAACTAAAGAGAAAATTTTATTAGACAAATGTAAGACCGATGATGTGGTTTGAGACAAAATGAAAATAAATTAAGTGTAGCGATGAGAATATTTTGACAAATATATATAATTGTTTAGTGCAATGTATAGATTTTTTTATTAATTTTTTTATGAAGTATTTATTTAGACCTGTCTATGAATATATATTTTGTCTATGAATGTATTTATTTAGAGTAATTCTTTCACACAATTACCTTTTTATTTAAATATAAAAATATTAATAGAGGTCATATCATGTTATTATAAAGTGTATGACAAAAAAAATTTTAAAAAAAATAATATTATTCTATTTGTTGTCATGTATGCATCACACACATGATAAATATTTATTATTTATATACCGTAACTTATCTTTTTATATCTATTCTTATTACTATGATCCTCAAAAGTATATTTTTTTAAATCAAAATTTGTGAATTCGTTTAAAATTTCAATTTAATATACTCCTTAATGTATTTGACGTCAGAGCTAAGATTATTTTAATGCTACATTCTTTTTTCAAAGAAAGT